TGCCATTCTATGTTTTGTTACACACCACAAAAATCCCAATAACAACAACAACAAGAATTTTCGGCGAAAAGCATTGCACGCTGACTAACATACAATTGATGTGTTGTAATAGCAATAACAACAACCACAACAACACACATAGCTAGACAGCCAGGCAGCCAAAAATTTAAGCAATGCGGCAGTCGAACGCGGCAACATTAGGAGTCGCGACGGAAACAATTTCTCCAACGGTTTGGCAGACAGGCTGGTCGTTTGGTTGTCGGTGTCTAATGTTATCGTCGATCTGTGTTCGTTGTCGTTTGTTCGTTTGATGACGAAAACGATGGTTTATAATTTATCCGAAACAAATGCAAAAAAATAAAAAATGTAATAAAATGCTGGCAATTTGTCCACAACTCCCCAGAACTCGTAGGGGATGATGTTTCACAAGCCTCTATGTTTCAAGAGTCCTCTATACAACAACACGTACAAACTTTTAGTTAAACATTTTCGGTTGGATACAGACCAACCAAAACTGGACACGTGGAGTTTCGCTAACAAATGTTATCAAATTTCAGCAATTTAGTTACAGAAATCTGCCACCAACAGTAGTTGGGCCGGGGGGGGCTAGATTTTCGGCGCGAAGAGAGAGAGGTGATAAGGAGTTGATCATTCTGTGGTCTCGTTTTAATGTGAAGATTGCCTGCCAAATACCATTATAGTTATGATGGAAAATTAGGAAAAAAAAAATGCCATTAGTGAAAATATAATTAATTTTAAATTGCTCAGCTCATACCTTTTGGAATAGGTTGTTTCGTAAGATAAACACATTTTTGTCGGTTTGATGCGACTTAAAAAATTAAATTTTCGAAATGACTTAGAAATTGTCCTAAAAATCTAAATTGAAAAATCACATTTCGGTGATCGGAAAAATATAAAAACAAGTAGAAAAAGCTGTAAGCTCGGCCGGGCCCAACTTTGAATAACCTCCACCATTTGGAACGAATTTAGCAATTCTCAAAAACAATAAAATCCGTTAAAAATTTTGTTAATATCTTAAAAGTACAGAATGTAGCTGTTATATTAGGGTCTATACAACGACATGGACCTGCATAGGTAACTTTTGGCATAAGCCATTACAATATTCAAATGCGAAACTTAAAAAAAATCGGTTAATAATATAGCTAAAATCAACAAAATACCGAATATCTGGAGGTACCGATTTGTGGGTGGGCTACACGAAGACGTGGACCTGCACAGACAATTTTCAGTCTTGGGCTGTAGTATCCATTACGAACTTCCAATACCAAATTTGAAACAATTCTGGAGAATAATGTCGCTAAAATTATCAAAATACCGAATATTGGGAGGTGCCGTTATATGGGAGCTAAACGAAGTCGTGGACCTTCACGGACAATGCTCTGCCATAGGCTGTAGTATCCATTACGAACTTGAAATACCAAACTTTATACAATTCTGGTGAATAATGTCGCTAAAATCATCAAAATACCGAATGTCGGGAGGTACTGTTGAATAATGTCGCTAAAATCATCAAAATACCGAATATCGGGAAGTACCGTTATATGGGGGCTACACTAGAGCGTTGACCTGTGCAGACAAATTTTTGTCATAGGATGTAGTATCTATCACGAACTTCAAATACCAAATTTGAAACATTTCCGGTGAATAATGTCGCTTTAATGACCAAAATATCGGATATCGGAAGGTACCGTCATATGGGGGCTATACGAAGACGTGGATCTGCACAGACAATTTTCAGTCTTGGGCTGTAGTGTCCATTACGAACTTCAAATACCAAATGTGAAATAATTCCGGTGAATAATGTCGCTAAAATCATCAAAATACCGAGTATAGGGAGGTACTATTATATGGGGGCTATACCATAACATGGAACTGCACAGACAATTTACTGTCATAGACTGTAGTATCTATTACGAACTTAAAATACCAAATTTGAAACAATTCCGGTAAATAGTGTCGCTAAAATCATCAAAATATCGAATATCGGGAGGTACCGTTATATGGGGACTATACGAAGGCGTTGACCTGCGTAGACAATTTTCTGCCTTAGGCTGTAGTATTCATTACGAACTTAAAGTATCAAATTTGAAACAATTCCGGTGAATAATGTCGCTAAAATCATTAAAGTACCGAATATTAGGTGGTACCACGTAGACGTGGACCTGCACAGACAATTTACTGTCAAAGGCTGTAGTATCCACTACGAACTTCAAATACCAAATTTGAAACAATTCCGGTGAATAATGTCGCAAAAATCATCAAAATACCGAATGTCGGGAGGTAATGTTGTATGGGGGCTCTACGAAGACGTGGAGCTGCACGCACAATTTTCTGTCATTGGCTGTAGTATTTGAAACAATTCCGGTGAATAATGTCGCTAAAATCATCGAATATAGGGGTTACCGTTATATGGGGGCTATACCAAAACGGGGACCTGCATAATTTACAGCTCTTTTACTTGTTTTAAATTAAAAACCAGTAAAGAAAGTCTTAAAGTCGGGCGGGGCCGACTTTATGATACCCTACACCACTTTGCTAATTTAGTAGAGCTCCGCATAACAATTAAAAGTTTTTATGGGAGAATTCAATAATACACGCCATGTTTATAATTATAATTTAAAGTTCAAAGGACTAAATATGCCGAAGCATTTGTATCTTTTAAATTCGGACTTGTATTTCCCATTTGGTGCGAAATTAATTTGAAATCGGATGAAGATATATGTGGGAGCTATATCCAAATCGGAACCGATCTCGATAAAATTTGGCAAAGATATTTCTGAGCTGTATTTGATATATTTCCCTAAATACCGTTGTTACTGAGTGCATATTACGGCTGTGGGTAATAAATATAACAAATCGGATAAACAATATATTTGGGAGCTATAGCTATATCTGAACCGATCTTCACCAAATTTGACATACTACCTTCTAGACTCAATTCGGTCGTAAGTGCCAAATTTCATCCAATTTGGGCAAATATTAGACGTTTGGTGCACAATCAAAGGTAAATCGGACGAACTTATATATGGGAGCTATATCCAAATCTGAACCGATCTCGATAAAATTTAGCAAATGTATTTCTGAGCTGTATTTGATATATTTCCCCAAATATTGTTGTTACAGAGTGCATATTACGGCTGCAGAGAACAATAATAACAAATCGGACGAACAACATATATGGGAGCTATAGCTATATCTGAACCGATTTCGATTAAATTTGGCATACTTATTGTCAGGCCTAATGTGGTTATATGTGCAAAATTCCATACTATTCGGGCTGATATTACACGTTTGGTGTACAAAAAAAGCAAATCGGACGAAGATATATATGGGAGCTATATCTAAATGTTGACCGATTATTTCCAATTTCAATAGGGTTCGTCCTTGGGCCACACAAATGATATGTGCAAAATTTCATCTGGATAGGGCAATAAATGCAAACTGTACTTTGTTTACAAAAATACATGGACAGACGGACAGACGGACAGACGGACGGACGGACATGCATAAATCGACTCAGAATGTGATTCTATGCAGATCATCAAAAGGAACTATGGGTCTATCTCGTTTCCTTTTGCCTGTTACAAACAAATGCACAAAGACATAATACCCTGACCATTTTGTGGTGTAGGGTATAAACAACATTTTACATTGAATTCACTTTTATAGTCCTTTAAAAAATCCAAGCTACATAGTCCTTGAAATCTACGTTTCTAATCCTTGAGAAAATATGTGGATCTGGTTCTTGAAAATGTATATCCATATATGTCAATAGTCTTTGAAAGAAAAAAAATAGTTAAAAATCTAAGTTTGAAAGTCCTTGTAATTTATTAAAAAAATCTTTCACAAAAATATAAAAATTTCTCTTTCTAGTCCGTCGAAAAATATTAAAAAATATTTTTTTTGATAAAGATTCTCGTTCAAAGGATGTCATTGAAAAATATTTTCTTTAAAAACTACTTTTAAGGAGTTCTTGAAAAATATTTTTAGTCCACGTTATTCATTTAACGTGGACCTCAAAAATATTTTAAAAAATCTATGGAAACCGGGAAGGAAGCCGTAAAAAATATTTTTTAAATTTGTAGTTAATTATAATCCTATTGTTCAATAATGAACCTATTTTTAATGAAATATTGCTTTTTAAATCTAAGATAAATTAGAGTATTTGACGAAGGTCTTTGACGAAGGTCTTTGACGAAATATCCTTTTTAATAACCTCATGTATATTAAGTACTACTTTAGTACTTTAGATTTAAGGAGAGTCCTTAAATAACTATTTTTTTAAAAATCCTAGTGTAAATGGAGTCCTTGAAAAAATATTTTAAAATATCCAAGATTTTAAGGAGTCATTAAAAACATATTTCTTAAAATAAATTAAACGGGACCTTAAAAATAATTTGGCAAATGTCTATGGCTGTTATAAAATGTTTCCCTAAAGGTAATTCATTATTTTTGGATCCTAGTTGAGATATCAACCCTCGCATATTTTTCCAAATGCTAACATTCCATTCACACAAATGTGTCTGTTTTCTCTTATCCAATTGACATGCATGACCCACATTGTCCTATCAATCCAAGTTGCTGTGATCCATAATGAGTTAACTACTCCGCAGCCACCCACTCACCATAAAATGTCGTCGTTTTTTTTTTTTTTTTGTTTCGACTCGAATCAGTCCAAACAACATCATTACTGAGTTGGATATGACAGGCAAACAATGAACCGGCAATTCATGCCAAAAAAAAAAAAAAAACAGACAACAACGAACCGAATCGAACCTAACTTTCTGTGAAAGTGTAGACCATTAAAACTTCATGCTGTTCATGTTGCTCCTGTCATATGGCAGTCAGAGGGTCAGATCTCTTCCACCACCTCATCTTCTTCTTTTTCTCCGTATCCACTGGGCCAAACATGTGCCAGGCGTCCGCACAAAGTAGTTCTTAAATTGTCAATAGCTGTAGCATGTGAAAGCCATACTCACCTAATAAGTGGGTCCGAAAGTAGATCACGTCACGTAGTGTCACTTCTTCGTTGCGATAGAGTATTTGGAAAACACGTGAGGCTCCAGCCCCATTAATTATGCTGGCCGAGGCTAAGTTGTGAACATTATTGGGCAGTGGTGGTATATCGGATGGTGGTTGTTGTTGCTGCTGCTGTTGTTGTTGATGATTGTTGTCCAACTGTTCCACAGACTCTGTCCCATTGCCGACACCACCCATACCTGCCACGTTATTAGCATCTCCACCATTGCTACCGCTACCATTGCCGCCTCCATTCGCCAATGCAATGGGCTGAACGGCAGGCTGGCCATTCGCTGTGGTCTCGGGTATTGTGGTTTCGATTTGTACCGGTAGGCGGGGTGAGACACGCAGAGAGCATCGTACCTGATACAGACTGTTTAATGAGATGTTTTTGTAGTTGTTTGTGTTTTTGTTGGCAGGTATTTTTGAACCAGGCCACGTCGGAGGAGGATGATGACGATAATATTGTCGTCGTTTGGGCAATTGAATGGTTAATGAAAGATGGAAGAGAGAGAGAGAGAGAGAAAATAAAATAAACAACAAAAGTCAAAGGTTAATTGTGACATTTAAGCAAACATCTTTTAAATATTAAACTTGTTCAATTATGACAGTGAGTGCGGGGTGATGGAAGGGGATGGTTGGCTTAAGGGTTCATTAAAAAATATAAATTATTTCTTTTCTTAAATAACTTTGAAAAGGATTTCGAATGTAAATAATAAGTTGAATGTAGGTGGAGGACTCTTAAAGTGTCTCCTGTCCTCTGAAGATCCCTAAAGGGTACTCTGACCATCAAGGCCTTTTAAAGGGTCTACTGTCAGTGGAATATATTTGAACGTTTTTTTTTGTCAATATCGGACCTTTAAAACATATTTTTAACATTGAAAGCTCATAAGGGGGTTTCCAGAGAATACTCATAAGGAGCCTTCTGTTCCTAAAATGTATTTTAAGGGGTTCCTGTACAAGGAAGAAGAACGTGAATGGTTTTCTGAACATGAAAGGCAATCATAACGTATTCTCTAGCAAAAAGAAATACAGAAGAAATGTTGTCCAAAAAGGACGACTAAAGGGTATTTTATCCATAGAACCCATTCAAAAGGTATTCTGCCAAGAGTAGACTTTACATTCTTCCAACAGAATATTCGGAAAAGGTCTTCTGTCTACAGAATTCCTGTAAGAAGACTTGCAAGGATCTTCTGTCCAGAGGAGACTTACAAAAAGGCCCCTTGTATATGGTACAACTTAGATAGGCATAGAGCAGCCTTGATAAGGTCTTCTTTCCATACAATAGATTGAGAAGATCTTCTTTTGATACCAGACATTTAGAAGGTTTTCTTTCTATACAAGGCCTTGAGAAGGTCTTCTTTCCATAGCCAACTTTAGGAAGGTCTTTATTCCGTGGAAAGCCTTGGGAAGGGAAGATCGTAAAAGACCTTAAGAAGGTCTTCGGTTTATAGACTTTGGGAGGGTCTTTTGTCTATAGAAGACCTTGAGTAGATCTCCTGCCTATAGAATACCCTGAGTAGAACTTCTGTCTATAGAAGGCCTTGAGAAGGTCTTCGGTCTATAGAAGACCTTGAGAATATCTTCGGTCTATTGAAGACCTTGAGAAGGTCTTCGGTCTATAGAAGACCTTGAGAAGGTCTTCGGTCTATAGAAGACCTTGAGAAGGTCTTCGGTCTATAGAAGACCTTGAGAAGGTCTTCGGTCTATAGAAGACCTTGAGAAGGTCTTCGGTCTATAGAAGGTCTTCGGTTTATAGAAAACCTTGAGAAGGTCTTCGGTCTATAGAAGACCTTGAGAAGGTCTTCGGTCTATAGAAGACCTTGAGAAGGTCTTCGGTCTATAGAAGACCTTGAGAAGGTCTTCGGTCTATAGAAGACCTTGAGAAGGTCTTCGATCTATAGAAGACCTTGAGAAGGTCTTCGGTCTATAGAAGACCTTAAGAAGGTCTTCGGTATATAGAAGACCTTGAGTAGATCTCCTGCCTATAGAATATCCTGAGTAGAACTTCTGTCTATAGAAGACCTTGAGAAGGTCTTCGGTCTATAGAAGACCTTGAGAAGGTCTTCGGTCTATAGAAGACCTTGAGAAGGTCTTCGGTCTATAGAAGACCTTGAGAAGGTCTTCGGTCTATAGAAGACCTTGAGAAGGTCTTCGGTCTATAGAAGACCTTGAGAAGGTCTTCGGTCTATAGAAGACCTTGAGAAGGCCTTCGGTCTATAGAAGACCTTGAGAAGGTCTTCGGTCTATAGAAGACCTTGAGAAGGTCTTCGGTCTATAGAAGACCTTGAGAAGGTCTTCGGTCTATAGAAGACCTTGAGAAGGTCTTCGGTCTATAGAAGACCTTGAGAAGGTCTTCGGTCTATAGAAGACCTTGAGAAGGTCTTCGGTCTATAGAAGACCTTGAGAAGGTCTTCGGTCTATAGAAGACCTTGAGAAGGTCTTCGGTCTATAGAAGACCTTGAGAAGGTCTTCGGTCTATAGAAGACCTTGAGAAGGTCTTCGGTCTATAGAAGACCTTGAGAAGGTCTTCGGTCTATAGAAGACCTTGAGAAGGTCTTCGGTCTATGGAAGACCTTGAGAAGGTCTTCTGTCTATAGAAGAGAGCCTCTAGAAGACCATGAGACCTTGGAAAGGTCTTCTGTCTATCGAAGACCTTGTGAATATCTTCTGTCTATAGCAGACCTTGAGAAGGTCTTCTGTCTATAGCAGACCTTGAGTAGGTCTTCTGTATTTCGAAGACCTTGAGAAGGTTATCTATCTATCGAAGGCCTTGGGACGATCTTCTGTTTATAGCAGACCTTGAGAGGTCCTGGGAAGGGAAGGTCTACTCTCCATGTAAAACCGTGAGAAGATCTTCTCTCTATGGAATACCTTAAGTTTGTTTTTCGGTCAATAGAAGACCTTGAGATGGTCTCCTGTCAGTAGAAGACCTTGAAAAAGTTTTTTTTCTATAGAGAACCTTGAGAGAGCCTCTAAAAACCTTGAGAAGGTCTTATGTCTATAGATATACTTTAGAAGGGCTTTTGGCCTTAGAAGACCTTGAGAAAGTCTTCTGTCCAAAAAAAAAAACGTTTGAAAAGTACTTGTTTCATAGGAGACCTTGTGAAGATATTCAGTTTATTTAAAAGCTTTGAGTCTCTGTAGGACCTTCTCTCTCTTCTCTCACTTGAATACCTTAAGAAAAAATCTTCTCTCTGTAGACGATCTTGAAGAAGCTTTCTTTCTACAGAGAACCTTGAAAATGTCGTCTCTGTAATAGAAGACCTTGAGAAGTGATTTTCTCTCCAGAAATCATTGCAATATTCTTCTCTCTAGAGGAGGTATTCTGGATTTTGAAGTCCTTGAGAGAGAAGACTTCTACAGACAAAATACCTTGTCTGTAGAAGACTTCTTTTCTGTACAAGATATAGTAAATGACTTGGTTTATTCGAAAAATGTTTTTTCTACATTTAATACCTTTGCCAAATCTCTCAACCTGTTGCTAACCCCTTAAATTAACATCAATCATTTGCATTAAATCCGCCCCCCATAGTCCACAACTTTCGCTATAAAATCATGGCAAAAGCTATGGCAGAGAAGATAGAGAAAGTGCTTTGCTAAATGAACTTTCAAAATGAATATTTACTCCATCGAGTCTACTTCAATTAACATCCTCTTTAGAAATTGCATTAAAAACAAGCCCTGGCATGCCACTGCATCTTTACAGCAGCAATTACCCTTCCTCAACGCCCATTTGGCCTGGCTGAAAACTTTTAAACTTTAACCTTTTTGCTGCTTTTAATTTGCACATGGCTGACTGACTAACTGACTGAGTGACTGACAAACTTGTCGCTTGACTGTGTCGCTTAATTGATGACTGCCTTTGAATGTTCATCGCTTGGTTGTCGGCTGTCGAAAAGGTCAAAAAGGTAGCAGCAATTTAGTCCTGTAATTAAAAATCACATTCTCAATAAATATTTCTCGTGTCATTAGTTTGTGGCCTCGGGAGCAGGTAGGGGGAGCAGGAGGGCAAGATTTAATAAACCTGATTTTAAATGTAATTCTCCATTTAGATGAGGCTCTCTGCGGAGAGGAAGATTATTGAGGTTTTTTTCTTTATACCCTACACCACAAGGTGGTCAGGGTATTATGTCTTTGTGCATTTGTTTGTAACAGGCAAAAGGAAACGAGATAGACCCATAGTTCCTTTTGATGATCTGCATAGAATCACTTTCTGAGTTGATTTATGCATTTCAGTCCGTCTGTCTGTCCGTCCGTCCGTCCGTCCATGTATTCTTGTGAACAAGATGCAGGTCGCATTTATTATCCGATTGAGATGAAATTTTCCAAACAACATTTGTTTGGCCCAAGGACGGACCCTATTGAAATTGGAGATAATCGGTAAAGATTTAGATATAGCTCCCATATATATCTTCGTCCGATTTGCCTTTTATTGTGCACCCAAAGTGTAATATTAGTCCGAATAGTATGAAATTTTGCCCGTACGATCAGATTGGACCTGGAAATATGTATGCCAAATTTGATCGAAATCGGTTCAGATATAGCTATAGCTCCCATATATATTGTTCATCCGATTTGTTATTTTTGTCCACCGCCGGCGTAATATGCACTATGCAACAACAATATTTGGGGAAATAAATCAAATACAGCTCAGAAATACATTTGCAAAATTTTATCGAGATCGGTTCAGATTAGGATATAGCTCCCATATATAACTTCGTCCGATTTATCTTTTATTGTGCACCAAACGTCTAATATTTGTTCAAATAAGATGGAATTCGGCACTTACGACCGAATTGAGTCTAAAAGCTAGTATGTCAAATTTGGTGAAGATCGGTTCAGATTAGCTATAGCTTCTATATATATTATTCATCCGATTTGTTATATTTGTTACCCACAGCCGTAATATGCACTCCGTAACAACGATATTCAGGGAAATATATCAAATACAGCTCAGAAATATCTTTGCCAAATTTTATCGAGATCGCTTCAGATTTGGATATAGCTCCCATATATATTTTTATACGATTTCAAATTAATTGTGCACCAAATGGGCAATACAATTCCGAATTTAAAAGATACAAATGCTTCGGCATATGTAGTCCTTTGAATTTTAAATTATAATTATAATCATAGCGTGTATGATTGAATTTTCCCATAAAAACTTTTAATTGTTATGTGGAGCTCTACTAAATTAGCAAAGTGTTGTAGGGTATCATAAAGTCGGCCTCGCCCAACTTTAAGACTTTCTTTACTGGTTTTTTTTTATAAAAAACGAAGTGGATGTTCTATTTTTTACAGAGGGGCAATTGAATAGTCCTCTCTCCAGTGGTTTGAATTTCTTTTGAATTGAATTTCTGTAAATAAACC